CATCCATTGGAGCCATTTTTGCCCAAAACCCTTCCTCTCCATTATAGTCAGCATTGCATGGTGCTCCATTTTATCAAAGGCCTTTTCAAAATCGAATTTGAGGATAACAATTTCTTTCTTGGAGTGATGACACAAGTGAAGGTATTCCAATGACCAAGCTAGGCAATATTGGATACTTCTAGTTTTGGTAAACTCGTAGTGGTTTCTGTGGACCAGACCAATTATCACTTTTGCAGTCTATTTGCCAGTAGCTTGGTTATTAGTTTTATTGAGGAGTTTAAGAGAGAAATTGGCCTGTAGTCAGAAAAACCTTAGCTCCATACACTTTTGGGATCAAAGTGATGAGAGATGAGTTAATACTTCCGAGACAGATTATTGCCATGAAAATCATTACATAGCCTATAAAAGTCCTCCTTGATAGCTGCCCGACAGTTCTTTAGGAATTCATCATTAAATCCATCTAGCCCTAGAGATTTGTCAATTGACAAGCCTTTTATCACTACATCTATCTCATTATCAAGGAAGAGTCAACGGTGAACCCTATGAATTCTGATTTCCTCATTCTTTCTTTAAAATCTTACCAAAGCAAAAGCTCTTTATCTTTGTGTGAAGTAAGAATGGAGCGAGTGATGAGGTTGCCTCTGTACCTGACTGTTGCATTGGCATGAAAAAACTTTGTGCTTGCATCTCCCAATTTTACCCACTTATTTGCACCCCTTTGCTTATAGTAAGCTTTGGTTGCTCAAGAAGGGAGAGTAGTTTGGCTTTTAAGGCTACTGTGAAATCCCATTCTGCAAGGCTTAAGTCTTTGAATTGCTTGAGGATTTCTAGGAACTGGATCAAGGATTTAGTATTTGTGATGGCTGTTTTCAGACTAGACATCCTGGCATGTTTTTCCTTGAGAATTTTCCTGAGTGTTTTTAATTTTGCAGTAATTATTTTGGCAATGCCTGCTTGAGGTACTAGAGGTAGCTAAACTTGGTTCAGAATTTCTTGAAACCCTTCATGCTGGAGCCAAAAGTTTTCAAACCTAAAGATTTTGCTTTTTGGAATAGCAGTTGAAATGGTGACTACACATGGGTAGTGATCAGAGGGAGTCATCTCCAAAGCTTTCACAGAAGTATCTGGGTAAGTAAGAGTCTACGAATTAGATGTGAAGACCCAATCCAACTTCTGAAGCAAGGGTGAGGGTTGTATGTCTGACCATGTATACTTTCTTCCTTGAAGCACAACCTCATTTATCCCTAGGGCACTGATGCTATCATTAAACATGAACATCTCTGCTAAGTCCCCTCCTTCTTTGTTTGTCTTCCTGTTTTATCATTAAATTGAAGTCACCTACAATGATTCAGTCTATGAGGTCAGGTATTTGTATCTGTTGGAACTAGTCTATGAAGCTTCTTTTGCCTCTAGGAGTGCAAGGGCCATAAACATTTGTTAGGAGCCAACTTTTATTATTGTGTAGGGAGGAGAACTCTACAAAAACTGCAAAATCATTTATGAAGGCAAGCTGCCCGTTGAACAAAGAGCTTTTCCAAGCAGTTAAAATACCCCCAGATGCCCCTACTGAGGTTAAGTATTCAAACCTATCAAAAGCTTGTGGACAAACATTTCTGACAAAATTTGCATCAATCCGTTCTCTTTTGGTCTCTTGAAAGCAAACTACATCACAACAAGATTCCACCACTTTATCTCTGATAGCATTCCACCTATCTCTAGAATTAATCACTCTCACATTCCAACTCAAGACAATCCATTTTCTAGTGAAATTATGACTCATTGCGAAAAAACTAGAAGGAATAACAATACTATAAGATTTTAAACACTTTAAACGAGAGAAGGAGAGCAAAATTTTGCCTTTCTATGTAGCATGAAATATAATATAGTAAATTCAGACACATTGGACCCCTCTCAGCCATTTGTGCCTTGAGCTGTTGGACGGCTTTGTTGAAGTTTGCTAGTTGGGCCTTCATGGTTTCACAGGCCCATGTACTTACTTGACGGCTGAATCCTATATCACTCGCTCTCTTCTTCTCATTCCTACGGGCCTACCCAAGCCCAGGTTGAGGTGGTGGTTGCAGGAGATCATGGGGAAGGTTGGTTGCTGGTGCAGAAGCTAAACAAACGCGATAGTTTTTTTTAGTTTAATTTAGTTTTGTTTTCGCAGAACAATGGAGAGAAAGAAATACATATATGGAAGAAAGAAGAGAGAATTACCTATATGACCTCCAAAAATAAAATTCTAAACACTTTAAACCGTGCGCAATATTACTCCAAATCTTAAATAGACAAACTAAACTCTGCACTATAATCTTTCTTTGCGAGGGGTAAAACTATTAAGTGGCTAAAATGAACGGAAGGCCAGGTAAGTCAAATTCATTTTTGGGTCTTATGGGTAACTTTAGAAGAGAAAGGACCATTTAAGGAAGTCAAAATTTTTTGGAGGCTATACAGGTAGAATTAATGGGGTTTGTTGTATAGTGGCATATGATTGGCCGCAGCGCGAGCGAATTACCGACGAACAGTGAGGGATTGGAGGGCCATTACCTTTTGTCCGAGCCTGGTGGGGACGGGGAGGAGAGATAGGTAGCTAGCGTCGCTGGGGCAGCCAAACCATCTGCAGCATTGTAAGACTGTCTCCAACAGCGTACGCATAACGCGACCCATACTCAAAATGCGTGGTGCACAATGTTTTATCGGCAAAAATACATGCTCCAACGGAGTAGGCAATCGCATGAATCATTTTGCGTCCGAGGCGACGCGGAACGCAAATGAGCGTCCTCTCTCCGTCTCACCCGTCGGTCTCTCCCTCTCCCTCTCGATCCCCACGCGGATAGGGCGGTGACGGATGGCGCGGGCGAGCACGACGGCTGCGGCCGGCCTCCTCCTCTCCCCCTCACGCCGCGCCGTGGCAGGGGACGGGCACCGCGGGCGCCCACGGGCGGTGCGAAGTCCGCGCTGTAGCCCACCGGCGAGGGAGGCCCCCAGGCGCGGCTGCACAGCGGCGTGGGACGAGCGCCCTCCCCTCGACGCGGTGGTTCGGGGCCGGCGCGGCGACGCTGGGGCGAGCGCCCTCCCCTCCCCCAGCGCGGTGGTGCGGTGGTGCCCCAGCCCCAAGGTGCGGCCTCTCTCCCTTCCTCCTCTCCTTACCTCACTGGCTCCAGAGTCCAGTGCCGGTCTGTGCTTGTCGCCGTTCTTTGCTGGGTTGATCTGGGGCCTCCAAAACCGAGTCCAGGAAGTTCATGGCTGGATCCATTCGTTCCCCCACCGGATCTGGCCTGGTGGCGTCCTCTTGCGGCGTCCGGCGTCGAGGGATGCAGCATGGGGATGTCCTGCAGCACCGCGGCTCCTCGTCTTCCGTTTCTGGCCCTCTTGGCTGTTGGAGTTAGCAAGTTTTGGGTCCGTGATTCTTTCCCTGTGCGTGACCCAAACCGTGGAATAAGTGCCGCGTTTAGATTCTGATTGTCAGAGACAGCCTAAAAGTAACTTTTTTTCTTTTTTCTGTTTTGCGATGGGCTACCTCGCCTCTCCTCGCCTGCCTGCCTGCGACTTAGCTTGCTCGTTCATGTTTTGGGAAAGAAGAGAGAGAGAGGTCAGGTTGGTCTCTGCTCTTCTCTTCTCCTTTCCCAATTTCAGTTGCCTCAGATTTGTTTTCCTCACATCCTGTATTGATTGGCTAGTAGGCAGGAGCAGCCGCGTGCCCTGGAGATGAGGCCGAGGGGCTGTACCTGGCAAAATTGTCAGGCGCAGGGAGCTCCCCAGGCGATTTTGGACGTTTGGGGTGGAGATCGATGCCTGGCAGTCCTCAAACCAAACAAGCCAGGACGTGGAAAGAGCCTGCCACTTTCTTTCTATCGCCTTGGGGCAGCTGCCATCCAGGAACTAGCCCTGACCACTACCAACGCCAAGTATCGTGCGTAGTTATTTTTATTTTTATTATTATCGCACTGATACAATGCGCGGAAATGCAGAACAAGATGATGGACAACCAACCAAGACGCGCACTAGCTATTGTTGTGTTGCTACAAACGACAAGTAAATTTCTCAAAACAAAACAAAAGAAGACGAAAATACTGCTACGGGTGATAAGGAGGAGGACGTGAACTACCACGCCATTCGCTGTAAGCAACTCCCTCCCTAGGAAAAAGGCAAGTATTGTACAGAAGAGAAGAGATGCATGCTCACCGTGTGCCCGCGGAGGGACTTGGTATTCTCTGAGTTTACTGTCCCCTTGTGTCTCAGCAACAAGTCAGGCAGTCAGTAACAAACTCTGTCCTTGCCTGCGTATCGCACAGGAAAAAAAGTAAAATTGTTCACGCTCTGTGATTCGCCCCTGTTCGCTTGGTTATAATCCATATTTTTTCAGCTAACGAATAATATTTTTCTCTCACAATAAATCAACCAACAGTATTTTTAGTAATTGCTTATCAACCAAACGAACAGAGTAATTGATGTTGGATTTCAATTATAGCAAACTGTTCACGGCTGGTTTTTATTGTTCACGCTCTCACAAATTTCTCCAGAATCATCTAGATTTCTCCAAATTCTTTCCAGCGAACAGGGCCTATATTCTTCGCGCTACCAAGGCAAATAAGATCGGATCAAACATGGGTAAGGCACGCTCCACCATTTGAATTTAAATTTCGCCGCTTTAGTTGGCCACTGGAGTATATTTTCCCAATTTCTCTGACTACGACTATTATTATTTTTGTTTTGTAAGGCAGCCTGCTGCGCTGCTCGGTCCACGTGGGCTACAAGCGGTAAAGTGGGGCAACAATGCCGTTGTTTTTTTTTTTAAAATTTTCAAACCAATTTCTCTTTTCTAATGAGAAAATTGGACTTTTTTCCTGATATATAACCATGGGCCTCACCAAGCCCAACACCCAAAGCCCAGAGCACATCGCCCCACTCTTCCCCCAAAGGACAGGCCGAGCCACCCAGACCCAGCCACTCCCCAGCAGGCCAGCAGCACGTCGCCCAAAACCCTACGCCGCTCAACCATGCTCCTCCGGCGACCGCTGCAAACCCTCACTCTCCCCCTCCTCCGCCGCCACTTCGCCGCCGCCGCCGCCGCTGAGGCGCTCGTGCCCCCCCACCAAGCCGTCGACCCGCTCTCCCCACCGTACGACTACCTCCCGGGCCACCCGCGGCCAGACGCCAAGCACGATGAGGTGATCCTCGCCGTGCCGCGCGCCTCTTCGGGGCGCCACGTGGCCGCCAAGGAGCGCAAGGCCGGGCGGGTCCCCGCCATCGTATTCGAGCAGGAGAACGGGCAGGAGGGCGGCAACAAGCGCCTCGTCTCTGTTCAGTCCAAGCAGATCCGCAAGCTCGTCGACCACCTCGGCCGGTCCTTCTTCCTCTCCAGGCTGTTCAGGCTGCAGGTCTGGTCAGAACACGCCGGGCAGGGTGAACTCATCGAGACCGTCCACGTCCTACCCCGAAAGGTGTGTGTGTGTGTGGCTCTTCTGTTGGATTTGCAGTGTAATTGCTAATGTCGATTTGTCTGCGACGATGGCTTAGGGGTTACGGCATTTTTTAAAGCTTGCACAACTCAACTGGTGGACTCACCGGCATTTTTGTGCAAGGGTGTAGGGGTGTGTGTTTTGGATTGAAAAAAAATATTTCTGTTACGGTTCTATAATTGCTCCATTTCTTGGTGAAAGTTCAAGTTTGTCTATGAAGATGGTGTTGACTTGTTGAGTAATGTGGAAAGCAAGATTGAGCGGTGGCTTTACAAACGGTACACAAATACAATTTGAATGGCAGCGTGACCTAAGTTATGCTGGTTCAGAGGTATCTGAGCAAAAGATCTGTTAGATTAGTTTATTGAACAAGATGATGACACCCCTTGGTTGAATGTTGTTCCTGTGGTTATGTTTTTTCGTTGAACTTTGATCTAGTTGTAGAAAACATGAAATTGACCAATAAACTAACGTCTTGTTTAGTTCAACTCTAATTTCTAAAAAGTTGCTACAGTACCTGTCACATCGAATGTTTGCGGCTCGTGCATGGAGCATTAAATGTAGACGAAAAGAAAAACTAATTGCATAGTTTGGTGGGAAATTGCGAGACGAACGTTTTGAGCCTAATTAGTCCATGTTTGAATACTATTTGCTAAATAAAAACGAACGTACTACAGTAGCCCAAAATCCAAATTCCTACAACTAAACAAGGGCTAAGACACTTGCTTTAAGTGAGCTCACTGTTTGCATTACGATCGTTCTGGAACTGTCTGATCTGTGACATCCATATTCATCAATTGGCAATTCTCCCGTTCAGCAATGCCTTATGCAAGCGGATCTATTTTTATCATATGAGCTGCAATTTCAGTTCTTTGTTCTTTGTTCTTTGGGTAATCAAATGAGCAAGGGTCTTCACAACTACCTCAACGGGTGCGAAGGGTAAGAAAGCTAGTCAAACCAACTAGGATCCGTTTAGGTAGCTGGAATGTAGGGTCTCTTACAGGTAAGTTAAGAGAGTTAGTAGACACAGCGGTTAGGAGGCGTGTAAATATCTTATGCGTCCAATAAACTAAATGGAAAGGGCAGAAGGCGAAGGAGGTGGACAATACCGGCTTCAAGCTCTGGTACACAGGGATAACTTCAAATAAAAATGGAGTAGGAGTTTTGATTGATAAGAGCCTCAAGGATGGTGTGGTGGAGGTGAGAAGGCAAGGGGATAGAATCATCTTAGTTAAACTTGTCATTAGTGATATGGTCTTAAACGTAATTAGTGCGTATGCCCTCCAAGTAGGCCATGATGAGAGTGCTAAGCGGCTTTTCTGGGAAGACTTAGATCGTTTGGTTAGAGCTGTCCCTAGTAGTGAGAAGCTCTTTATAGGAGGTGATCTTAATGGCCATGTAGGTACATCAAGTGCAGGTTTCGAGGCAGTTCATGGGGGTTTCGGATATGGTAGTAGGAACCAGGAGGGAGAGGAAGTCTTAGACTTCGTCATAGCTTTTGATCTGATGATAGCTAACACTTTCTTCTGTAAGAGACAGTCCCATTTAGTGACCTTTAGTAACGGCCAGTACTCTAGTCAAATCGACTTTATCCTTACAAGGAGGGATAAATGAACATGCGTGGACTGTAAGGTGATACCTGGAGAATGTGTGGTCGCTCAACACAAGCTGGTGGTGGCTGATTTTCGCTTTCTGGTGCAAGCTCGTGGGAACAAACAAGCTAGGGTTGCTAGAACGAAGTGGTGGAAATTAGAAAGAGAGGCATCAAAGGTCTAGTCTTTAAGGAAAAGGTCATTGAAGAGGGCCCTTGGAATAATGAAGACGATGCAAACAACATGTGGGAGAAGATGGCAACATGCGTTCGGAAGGTTGCTTCCGAGGTGCTTGGAGTGACTAAAGGGAGCTGATGCGACTCGAAAGACACTTGGTGGTGGAATGAAGATGTGCAAAAGGCTATTAAGGAAAAGGAGTGCTATAAGCGCTTGCATCACGACAGGTGTGCAAACAACATAGAGAAGTACAAGGTGGCAAAGAAGACTGCAAAACGAGCGGTGAGTGAGGCAAAGGGGCGGGCCTATGAGGACCTTTACCGACGTTTGAGTACGAAGAAAGGAAAGAAGGACATTTATAGGATCGCTAGGGCTCGCGATAGGAAGACAAGGGACTTCAACCAAGTCAAATGCATAAGAGATGAGAGGGAGCAGCTCTTGGTGAAGGAGGATGAGATCAGACATAGATGGCAAGAGTATTTTGATAAATTGTTCAATGGTGAGAACGAGAACACCACCGTTTAGCTGGACGACTCGTTTGATGACACTAACAGGCGATTTGTGCGGAGGATTCAAGAATCGGAGGACAGAGAAGCCTTGAAAAGGATGAAAGGGGGCAAAGCGATGGGCCGTGATGGTATCCCAATCAAGGTGTGGAGATGTCTCGAGCATATAGCTATAGTATGGCTAACCAAGATGTTCAACAATATCTTTCGATCGAACAAGATGCCTTAGGAGTGGAGAAGAAGCATATTGGTACCAATCTACAAGAACAAGGGAGATATCCAAAGTTGTACTAATTATCGGGGAATTAAGTTGATAAGCCACACTATGAAGTTATGGGAGAGAGTCATCGAGCAGCGCCTGCGAGGAATGACGTAGATATCAACAAACCAATTTGGTTTTGCCCGGAAGATCAACCACAGAAGCAATATTCTTAATAAGACAGGTTATGGAGCGGTTTAGAGAGTAGAAGGACCTCCACTTAGTTTCATTGACTTGGAGAAGGCGTATGACAAGATACCAAGAAATGTTATGTGGTGGTCTTTGGACAAACATAAAGTCCCATCAAAGTACGTGACCCTCATCAAGAACATGTACAACAATGTTGTGACTAGTGTTCGAACAAACGATGGTAACACATATTACTTCTCGATTAAAATTGGACTTCATCAAGTGTCAGCCTTAAGCCCGTATCTCTTTGCCTTGGTATTGGATGAGGTTACCAGGAACATACAAGGGGATATCCCGTGGCGTATGTTGTTCGCTGGTGATGTAGTGTTAGTGGACGAAAGACAGGCGGGAGTAAATAGGAAACTAGAGTTATGGCGGCAGACCCTTGAGTCTAAAGGTTTTAGATTGAGCAGAACTAAAACCGAATACATGAGATGCGACTTTGGCGGAGTTATACAGGAGGAGGGAGATGTGAGTTTGAAAGGTCAAGTAGTGCCTAAGAAGGATACCTTTCGGTATCTGGGATCGATACTACAGAAGGATGAAGATATTGATGCGGACGTTAGCCATAGAATCAAAGCACGGTGGATCAAGTGGCGATAAGCTTCTGGCATTCTCTGTGACAAGAGGGTACCACAAAAGCTAAAAGGCAAGTTCTATAGAACGACGATTAGACTGGCTATGTTGTATGGAACAGAATGTTGGCCTACAAAGATTCGACATGTTCAACAACTGAGTGTTGCAGAAATGCGTATGTTGCGATGGATTTGCAGTCACACAAGAATGGACCGAGTTCGGAACGATGATATACGTGATCGCCTAGAGGTAGCACCAATTGAAGAAAAGCTTGTCCAACATCGGTTGAGGTGGTTTGGCCATGTCCAAAGGAGACCTCCAGAGGCACCAGTGCATTGTGGAGTCCTAAGCCAAGCTAATAATGAGGAGAGGTAGAGGAAGACCGAAATTGACATGGGGGGAAGCAATAAAAAAAGATTTGAAAGCTTGGGATATACCTAGAGATCTATGTTTGAATAGGAGTACTTGGAAATCAGCTATTAAAGTGCTTGAACCGTGGCTTTGGGCTCTTGGTGGGTTTCAACTCTAGCCTACCCTAACTTGCTTGGGACTGAAAAGCTATGTTATTGTTGTTGTATGATTTTGAATTGTTTGATTGCCTACTGTATTTCTTGGCCTTCTAGGGTGATAGCTGATCTGATGTATGTTGCACTATATAACTTTTTTTCAATGGTTGCTCAAAAAATAACATGAATATGTTTTTTCATTACCTTCTATACACACTACCAGAACTGCGGTGTTGACTAATGTGGGATCTGTTGGGACATTCAGGTACACCTGCATGCAGGCACTGATGAACCACTGAATATCACATTTATGAGAGCACCTTCTTCTGCGCTTCTCAAAATAGACGTTCCTCTGATGTTCATTGGAGAGGATGCCTCGCCTGGTCTCAGGAAAGGTATGTAGCATGTTATGATGATCCATCAATTTGCACAAATTAAACATCAAATGGGAGGCCTTTGATTTTAGAAGCTCATACTTTCTGTTTATGGTTTTTTATCTTATAAATGGAACAGAATCATCAAAAGAATACCTGGGTTACTTGTAAACATTTCTCTTGAACCGTGTCAAAGAAAAGTAAAGAGCTCATTTCTGTTGAAAAATGTTTAGCTATTCTTTATTGTCTTGTGGCTTGTTGCTATATGCTATGTTCATTCACTTCTGTCTGAAACACTAATCCAGTATGCACTGAACATCCATTTCAAAAATTTTGGCCACAATGCTCAAGCTTTACCTGCACTATGGCTGAAACCTTCATATTTGCCTCCTTTGCTGTGTTAACATCTGTGTACACTTGAAACTCCAGGAGCTTACTTCAACACCATAAAACGAACGGTCAAGTATCTGTGCCCCGCTGACATAGTACCACCGTACATTGAAGTGGATCTAAGTGAGTTGGATGTAGGACAGAAATTGTTGATGCGCGATCTGAAAGTTCATCCAGCGTTGAAGCTGCTTCAGTCGCCAGATCAGCCCATCTGTAACATTATCGGATCAAGGGCTCCAGAACAGAAGAAGGGAAAATAACTTGCTTCTTTGTATGAACTGTTTTGAGCACAATAAGGTTCTTTTTTCGTTTGTTTTTCATACCTGAGTGATTCAGGTGTTACTTGTCCTACTGGTAGGATGAATTGTAGCCAGAGAGACACCTATTTTACCTCAGGAAGGAATGTTTTGAGCAAGCAGATGCTACAGCTAGACGCACTTGCAAAGGTTCCCAAATATGGTCTTGTAGTGTTAACAGAAACTTATGGTGCGGCGAGCATTGCTGAAAATTAAGTCACCATTGTTTGCAATCTAATTTAGCATTACATATTTACAATATGATTTAGATAGCATAAGTTTGTAAGGATTATCAAGAAAAAAAATGCTCTTTATGTTTTGCCATTGTGATGGCTTAAGCTCTGTATCTGTGATCACCCTGGAAGCTCAATATATCCTCAGCTGCCCCATCTACGATACTGGGCTGGACTTGTCACAAAAAATGTCGACTATGCTATGTCTAGCTCTCTGTCACTGATCTTAACACGGGCAATTCATTAATGCTGTTATGTAATTTCGAGACTTTTTTCGCGAACATGCCACTGCATGTATTTCATTAAGAGGGTAGAATTACACAACGTCCATTTGCACAAATGGGCGAGCTGCCCTTCATGCGCACAGCGGACACCCCACTAGAACGCGCGCACACAAGCTACTGGAGGCTAGTTGCAGTTCCTATTGCCAGCTGAATCGTGCGACGACACCGAAGCGCTTCCCTGGATCAGCCTGGCGCCCGGCCAAGGATCGCCGACGCTGCTGTGAATCCAGCGCCCACCCAGCAGTTCCCTTCTTCAATGATCTTTTCTGCGAGTTGGCTCGGTGTGCTCCGGACTGCCTCGAACACTCTTCGACAGCGCTCCTTCCAGACAAACCATGAGACCAACAGGGTGACAGAATCGACTCCTCTGCGTACCTCCTTCGGGAACAGCTTCCTTGTTCGCTGCCCCCATGGCACCAACTCATCTGTTTGCAGTGGAGTGAGGTGGGTGAGTGAGTGAGTCCGAACCTTCCCAGGACGAGGCACCAGACTTCTCTTGTGTAGACGCAAGACATGAGCAGGTGGTCCGTTGTTTCGCTGCCTTGATCGCACGCAGAGAGCACAAGCATCACTGTCCTGAAGGTCATGGCGCTTTCTTCTATCCCCGGTCCAGAGACGCTCGTGCATGGCGCCGATCCTGAAGAACAGCTTCACCTTGGGTGGCGTTGCAGCTTTCCATATCTCCTTAGCACGTAGCATGGTCGAAATCCCGATGAAGAACGGCCTGTACGCCGAGGAAGCTGAGTATGATCCGTCGTTGAACCAGCGCCAGAAGAACCTGTCTGATAAGGTTGGTTGTAGCTGAACACCATCGACCATTTCCCAAATCTTTACATAGTCGCAAAGAAGGGCCGCTGTCTGTCAGTGCACCGGTGATGTCCAAGACCCATCTACGCTGATGCAGAGCGTCCTTGACCGAACGTGTACGTGCACGCCGCGCCACAGCACCGAACAGGTCCGGCGCGATGACAGAGATGGCACCTTCAGGCAACCAACAGTCAGTCCAAAATCGCGCGGAGGCGCCATGACCCAAGGTGACCGAGACTGAGGCTGCAAACATCGCCTTAACACGTCTTTCGGTCGTGGACGGCAGAACATAATTTGGAGACTAATCTGAATTCTGAATCGTATTTAGTAGTATTTGACTGTTTACAATAAGCTTGGGAAGTTGAATGAGCTAAAGAGCGTCTGTAATTGTAGCGTGAAGTTTTAAACTTCTAAATGGTTTAGGTGTGTTGGTAGGGTGACAAAAAAAAACAGATGGTATTCTCGTAACGATTTCTACGTTCAAAAATCCTGATCAAAGCGCTTAAACATAGAAAGATCCCCAGCTCAGTCTCCGCACGCCAAAAACGACATCAAAACTGAATGCGAACTTAATAAGCCCTCCTGTCACCTACGACTGCTAACCAGTCACCTGAACTGCTGCGCACTGTTCTGTGAATGGGCAAACGTACTTGTGAATGATACTAGCAATTACATACTTGCATAGCAGTGCGAACCTCCTGACAACAAATCATACTCCTTGGCGTGAGCCCGGTATCACGAAATCAAGTGACAAAACAAGTAATATAAGACTTTATTGTTTCATTTCAGGAAATATCAAAACATAGGTTCACATACATGATATTAATAAGAGGCGTCCACATATGACAGCCCCTGAAAATGCAGTCCAAGCAAACAAAATTAAAGTTGAGACGCGCGCGCGCACACACCTATCTCCGATCAAGATAATATTATGACCGGATGTAGTCATTTTCTGGACTCCTCCAAAAAATCAAGGATCCAAGTACACAAAAACAAAGAAATCAATAGGTGGGGTAAATTCATCAGTGCCGCAACAAACAAAATCTCCAGGCAACAACTCTGCAAACATGATCACATCCATGGCTGCAACTTATTAACCTCAGACAGCACTTCAGATATGACCATATTAAGTTGTTACTGATGCTGACTCAACGGATCAGTTGGAAAATACGACCACCATCAGAAGGTGGGCTTCTAGGAGATGCAGGATGATATATGATGGGTTCACCTTCCTCCATCTCATCCACCATGAAATTTTCCCTGCACTCCATGCTGCAAAAGGATTTGTCACCCCTACAATCAATACACAGGATACCAAACATCAAACAACCATCAATAGAAACCGCAGGCCTATTCAAGAATGAAAAACACCCATAGCAGTGATTCATCTACTAAATTGGATCACTTACTGATAGATGTAGATGTCTATCCCTTCTTTGAGCTTCTCACTGCAAAAGCAACAGAAGCTCATTGCACCCTCTTTCACATGAAGAGACATACTCTGATCGCCCTTACTCTCAACAGGCATCAGCTGCTCAGCTTGAAACTCAAAAACACGATCTCCAAAAATGTGGGTAGTCCTAGGATTAGGGCCACGGGAGACAACACAAGTGTAATCCTCTGAATTGACGATGTCATCAAGGGACATAACACTACCCATCAGTCCATCAGACATATTATCATCCTTGTGTTCAACTTCCCCAGCTTGAACAGGAGCAGTGGAGCTGTTCTTGCGAGACAGGTTATCAGTAATCCTCATCTCAGATCCAAGAAGAACCTTTCTACCACCCAGGGGTGCTGGGTTCTCATCAGTGAGGGCGTCCACAAGTCCAAGCCCAACCCTGTCACCGAGCAAGATCTTCTGGTTCTGGCTTGCATCAACGGAGGATGATCTGGGCGATTTGTTGCCAAGGCCAGTGAAAAACTTGAGGTCTAGGGGCGATGTTGGGCTGCGAACCACATCCAGTTCACTCAAACATTTGGCGCTCAGTTTGACAAGAAGGTCAGGGACTCTGAAGAAGCCCATCTTCTGCGCGATCGACTCAGAGGAAGCCTGCAGAGCTGAGGAATCAGTTGCCATCTGGTCGCCTCTCGCTTTCTTCACACTGCATCAATTTGGAGTTAATAACTTCGATATGTGGCATCGCCTTTTAAAGTCTACCAACTTGATAAAGTTTGACTTATTTACCACTACTAGTTTGAACAACCACAGTTCTGGAGACAAGTTAACTCATACTACAGTCTCAGAATTTATTTTCCTTCACTGGGTCAAAGTAGAATAGATGAATCATATTTTCCTTATGGAAAATCATTTCACAAGCAACAGCAATTAATACTACGCAACCAACAGGCGCACATGAAAAGGGTTTATTGAACTCGAGTGTAGTACAGTACAGCATCTTCTCTATTTTTTTTTGTTTATAATAGATTCCTTCGCTTGTAAGCAATACATATTAATCAGTGAACAAAGCATCAGGAGAGGAGTAAGAGTCAATCCACATGGGCATCATCAGTCAGAGAATCCAACAATCCAAGCAAAACAAAAGGGCAAGCCAGGCCTTAGTGATTAATCAATCATCATCTCATTCTCACCTTTGTCTCACTAGCTGTTCCTTGACTCGCAGAGTTGTGTGTCTCCTCACGGTCACGGCACCCTCCTCATCAAGCACTGAAAAAAAAAGCAGGAACAAAAATAAAAATTAACACGATCAGTATAAATCCCTAGTGGGGAAAAACACCAACCGAGATTAAAACCCTCACAGAAAATTCCACAAACCAAAAAAACCAACGAAAACACACACACACACCCACGCCGAAGAATCGATCGAGAAACTCACGAGCGGATGAACCAAACCGAGGAACCAGAAGCAGATTAAAAACCCCAGCCCCCAGGACCTCACGAACGCGCCCGAACCAGTCCTCCCCGGAGGGGAATGCAGGTCGGAGAACCCCGAACGAGGACAGGCGAAACCGCGAGGAATCGAACGAGAGGGGGAGGGGACTCACCAACGTCCGCCCGTCGTCGTTGGTCGGTCTCCTCCGCGTGCAGAGCGCGGCACCGGGTCCGTCCGGGTGGGTGGGGAGGAGGGGGACTGGAGGTCCTGGGAGGATGAGGAAGAAATAGAGAGAGAGAGGGGAGAGGGGAGAGGGGAGAGGAGAGAGAGAGAGAAAGGTTTATGTGATGTGAGAACTTTAGGCTCTACTAGCAGGTGTTGGACCCTACACCCTACTCCCACAGTGCCAGCTTGGCCCCACATTTCCCCACTTCCTCTCTTTCTAGGGGTGGGGCCTGGCCTGCTCCCTCTGTACTTAACTCCGGGCTTTTCTAGAGAGAGAGTGTGGAGAGATATTCTCTCTCCTCTCCTGGAGAGAGAGAGAGGGAAAAGTGAATAAAATAATTCAGATAGGGAATGATGGAAATGGCATGTAGCTGCAGCCTGCTGGCAGGCCAAGTGGTGGCCGTTGATTGACATGATGGCTTGTTGGGATCCTCCCCATGGCCTCTTTTTCTAGAATGCTGTATTATTTTTTTATTTTACGAAAGAGATGGAGAAAAGGTGTAGATAAATCAAGAATCAAATAGTGAAGTGGGATTAAAGGTAGTGGGATTATGACGTCATGTGTGTGTCTTGATGTGGAGATTTGATTTGTCATGTTGTTGGTCAGCAGAGAGAGTACAGAGGAGAGAGAGAGCCATTAGGAAAAAAAGGCTAGTCATCTCTTCTCTAAACTCCTGAAAAGTATACTGTATAAAAAATAGATTCTCTGTCACATTAAATTTACGATACACGTATAGAGTACTAAATATAGATAAAATCAAAAATTAATTGCACAGTATGTTTTAACTTTGTGAGATGAATCTTTTGAGTCTAATTAGTCAATATTTAGACAATAATTCATAAATATAAACAAAATGTTACAGTAGAAATTTTTTACTATGTAGAATTTATCTGCGCAAACTTTGACAACTAAACACCCCTAGAGGAGAGAGAGAAGGATGCTATGCTGCCTGCGCCATGCTAGGCTGCTGCTAGCATTTGTGACTTTTTGCGTGTGTGCCCGGGCGCTGAGACTGATAGTGAGAGAGGGACCAGAATTTTTTTATATATAATTTAACCTAGAGTAATAATGTTCTTTGTTGGAGGGGTGCAGGCGGTGGTGGTGGAGTTGCCAAAGAAGTATGCTGTCAAAATCTGCTTTTTTGACTTTTTGGTTTGGTGTTCGGGGTCTGTCACGGATTGTGCTTGCCAGTCCACTTGCCACACAAATCTCGTCCACTTCCCGTTTGAAAGTCGAAACAGCTTGTCTAGGATAATTTTCGTCTTGTATAGTTGGATCTCAAAGTCCAAAAAGTTGCTATATTACCTGTCACATCGAATATTTGTAGGCCGTGCATGGAGCATTAAATGTAGACGAAAATAAAAACTAATTGCATAGTTTGGTGGGAAATTGCGAGACGAACATTTTGAGCCTAATTAGTCCATGTTTGAACACTATTTACCAAATAAAAACGAATGTACTACAGTAGACTCCAAAATCCAAATTCACCCAACTAAACAAGGGCTTTGTTAAAAACACACAGAGATTTTGTCTCAAAAGAAAGGGCAGAAGATCTGTGTTAGTGGAGAGTGGAGACTGATGACCTAGGCCGTGTTTGGATTCCTGCGGACTGTAGAATCCCAAAAGCTGGACAGTGAAAAGTTGGATTTTAAGCCTGTGTTTAGTTGGCTGAACTTTGAAATTTGAGTTAATATAGTACTTTCGTTTTTATTTGACAATTAGTGTTTAATCATGAACTAAGTAGGCTCAAAATGTTCGTCTCGCGATTTTCAATCAAACTATGTAATTAGTTTTTTTTTATCTACATTTAATGCTCTATACACGTATCGCAATATTCGATGTGATAACTACTATAGTATTTTTTAAGAAAAGTTTTTGAAACTAAACATGGACTAAAAGCTAAACAAGTGGTTGTTTGGATCCAAGATTGTAGAAGCTGCTGGACACAACAGCAACCATGAGTGGCCCACAAGAGGACGAAGTGGCAGACAACTATGGCAGGAGGGAGGCGCACATGACAACGCGTCTGTGCAGGGGTGGCGATGGCAAATGAGGGAATAACAGCCTGTTCGGGAGGCCGTATCGTATCGTGGATTATTTACTGTTGGTTGGTTTGGTGTGAGAGAAAAACACTGTTTTCGGCTGAAAATTTACGATCGTTTACGAGCAAACGAACAGGCTGTAAGCTGATAGTATTCGGCTGGTAAGGTTGGGATGATTTCGGATCATTTCGGAGGATTCAATAGTATTATAAGAAAGAATAAGCTAAAATAAGTTGAAACAAGATGATCTCTCCTAGATGTGGGGACTCTCGACCGATCCCTCATCCTCGGGAGACCAACGGCCTGATTCCCGCGTCGCCGCTGAGTTTTCTGTCCTTGTGCGCGCCGCTTCCTTCTTCAACCTGTGGGCATCATCCCTGCTCCCTCTCGCTCAAGGGCAACGGGTGACCTGTATTCATTGAGAGAGTGACAGAGAAAAACATGTGCGTTGTGGATCTGGCCGCGCTGGCCACGCTCCGATCTCCTGCGCGCGTGCTCATTCCGCGGAGGCCAACTCGTCAGCGCGCCCGAGTGCAGCCCTATCTTGCCGCTGCCGCACCTTTACGCGCGGCCGCCGCTGCTCCAAACCAGCCCTGCAAGCTTTTGTATTATTTAATCAAGCTTTGCCGCTGCTCCCAACTGGCCCACGTTGCCCCACCCGTAGTAGCGTGGAGTGTTGTGACGCAGCTGTGAGAGTGGCGTGAGGAGAGAAAAAAATAATAGTTGCAAATTATTTGAGAAAATAATTCCTTCAATATTTAGCCGTAAAAAATTATTGTTAACAAATATCCATTCCAATAATACTAACACATTTTTTATATAAAATACTGGACTTGGTAGTTAGAAGTTATGTATAAAATATAGGTGAGAGAAATTAGGGAGGCTGAAATGAGAGTTCGATTGGAGTGCAGGGAGAAATGAGGGCTGAAATCTGGATGAAGGATTCTCATTTGTGAGAGTAAGGGGCCAAATTTTGAGGGATTGGTTGGAGTTGCCCTCAGCTCGTGGGATTGTAGAAGTTGAGCTGGTTGGATTATGGAAGTTGTACTAAAAGTTGGACTGTTTGGATCCCAAATGAGATTGTAGAAGCTGGATTGTGCAATCCGGTGGAATCCAAACAGGGCCCTAGTGCTATTTTGGTTGATATAGCAATATTATTTGATGAAATACAACTAATAGCTCGTGGATTACCCTATTTTTTAAATCATTGAACAAACAAAAAGCATCGTCTTTATATTTTACCCACTCTTCTGTTTGAAAATATAGAGGCGATGTTTTTCTGACATATAGATGACCGGCCATGTGATTGTGCGAGTTAAATAAATTGATGAATGAATATAAATGTTGATTGTAGTTGTGAGTATGTTGATTGATTTATGAATGTCAACTAATAGACATAGAAACATGTTCTCTTAATATATCTGTACATGTATTTGAGTGTGTTCATAATTTTTCTTAGTTAAATGTTACCATCTATAAGTATTAAGATTTTCATTGTTTTTTAAACTACTAAATAAACTAGTTTCTACTATATTCCGCTATAGTGTTTATAGTTTTTGTAGGAGGCCACCTCGAAATATCTTATCCCTATATTTAAAACCGTGGCATTAGGTATATAGAGATATAGATATAGTTTATATATATTAAGTATATAGAGATAGAGATATAGATAATACTCTATAGATATATATTAAGTATATAAAGAGTGCATGTATATTATTTAGATATAGATATAGCTACAAGGTCTAATTAAATGCCCATGTTTTTATTGTAATTCTTAGGATTAACTGATTTATTTATTTATTTATTTGGGAAGACTCCCCAAAGTTGTTTTAGTGGTACCTTTAATTGGCGACTTAAAACGGCTTAATCATCAGTCGCAATTTAAGGCTTTCCGCGTGGAATACTAGCATTGTTTATTTGTTTTAAAAAAAGCCCTTTTGAATTACTGCTGGTTGCTGAAGGCCCAAGCAACACA